GGCGGACCGGGAGCTGCTGCTGCTGCTGCTGCCTCTGCTACTGCCTCTGGTGCCGCCGCTGTGGCTGCAGGCGTGGTTTCCACTGTCGTTGGGCACTCTCATGGGCGTACTGCTGCGTTCCCGCCGCAGCTATGGTCTTGCATCTGCTGCTACTGCAGCTGGAGTCCCCACAACCGGCTGCTGTGCAACAGCAGCCACAGCGGACGGCAACCGCCTGCGTCGAGAGGTGATAGAGGAGCTGCAGCTGCAGCGGCAACAGCTGCTGCAGTACAAGCCGCAAACGCGCGGTCTTTTTTTCCTGCATCGGCCCCCGAGAGGGAGCAGCTGGCGGTCTGCTGCCTCTGCTGTTGCTGCTGCTGCTGCGCGAGCGCACCAGTGGTTTGAAGACCAGCTGAGGACGCTCCTTACAGAGCGGTTGCGGCAGCAGCAGCAGCATCGCTTGCGCCAGCCGTTCTGCGACCTTCTGACTAGGCTTGGCCTGCGCAGCAGCAGCAACACAAACAGCAACAGCAGCACTAGCAACAGTTTTTGGCAACTGTTGTGGACTGGTTTCGTTGCCGCAGCTGCCGCGGCAACAGCAGCAATGGCGGCTTCTCCTACGTTGTCTGCGGGGGGGGATTTGACAGGAAGAACAGCTGGAGCAGCAGCCTCGCAAAGCAGCCTCAACAATTGGGTTGCCTCGAGTTTGCTGCAGTGTAGCGGCAGCGCCCTCTCCTTTTGGGGTGTATGTACGGCTGGGACGCGTATGCAGCAGGCTCTTGGCATTTCGTGCTCTTCTGTTCTCTCCAAGCCATTAGGCTTGGTTACAATAGCGGTGGCCTCCAACGCTGCTGCTGCTGCTGCTGCTGCTGCAGGCTTCGCGTGCAGCAGGCTGCAGCAGCTGCGCGCCGGCAGCAGTAGCGGTCCCTCCGGGTGGCTCGAAGCAGCAAAGACGCTGCAGCAGGAGACTCGTGGGAAGTGGGGGGGGCTGCTGCTGCAGCACCACCCCCGAGCATCCTCTCTGACCCTCCCCACTAGCAGCAGTACCGGCACTAGCAGCAGCAGCGGGTCGAGGCAGAACTTGCTGCGTCTCTGTGCGGGGGAGACAGTAGGTTGCTTGGTTTTGTACTATTTGTTAGGGGGTCGTCTCTTTCGTCTTTCGCCTTCCAGTTTGGTGGCTCCTGGGGCATTTAGTGAGCGTTCCCTGTCTCTGTCTGCCTCTACGGTGTACGCGTCAGACACAGAGCGTCGGCTAATTAAGAAGGTGGGGCTGCGCTTCGGCTGCCACACCTGCGGGACCCGCTCCCGCAGCACGCGCTGGGTGGCAGACCACCAGCCCCCCACCGCCCAAGTGCTTAACTACGAGCGCACGGCCCTGGGGTGGGCACTGGGGGCCTTGAGGCGGCTTCTGGGGGGCTCTAAATACTGGCCGCAGCGCCTTTACCCTCACTGCGAAAGCTGCAGCCTCAAGCAGGCCGTGGCCGTGCGGCGGCAAACGGCTGCTGCTGCTGCTGCTACTGCTGCTGCTGCCGCTGCTGCAACCCCCCTCACTGCAGCAGCCGCGGCTGCGAAGCTGCGAGAGAAGAAAAACCTCCTGCAGAAGCAGCAGCTCGTCTATAGATGGAAGAGCCTCAGGCTTTGGCATTTCACTGGGGGAATCCTCACACTTATTCGCTGCCTGGAAGCCTTATAAATCAACTGTATCCGAAATATATCTACCATTAGGTGCGTCCTCCGCCTCCCTCCTTGCAGCTGCAGCAGCAGCTGCAGGAAATCGAGAGCAGCAGCTGCTACTGCAGCAACTGCTGCTCTCGATTTCCTGTGGTGCGTGCATTTGCGTCTTCCCTGGGGGACGAACGCGGGGGTGACAGGGTACTGCAGGAGTGTTGAAGGCACAGCATATCTCGGGCTGTTAGCGGCCAATAAAATAAGTATGTAAATATACTATATATATATATATATATTGTCCAAGACGTGGAACACCACAAACTCCGGGCTCGAGAGAGAGGAGTGTATGTATTATCGCTGCATCTTCCGGGTCGCACATCGTCTCTTGTATGCGCGCTGTTCGAACTCCATCATGTCATTCTTGATGAACAAAGACATCATTGCGGGCGTTTTTGCCTGGAACCGTCTTCCATAGCGCTTCTAGAGGTTTCACCTCTGATGGTTCAATGCAGATGAGTTGAAGACGTACAGGGGGTTTCGCTCAGGGGTTGCAGGAGGGCGCCCTGTGCGAAGGTAGTCTGCAAGGAAATAAATAGTTCCGCGAAGGCGAATGCCGTTTGGTTACCGGTAGCAGTCGGCTCTTCTATGGGTTTTAACGGAGGTCGACGCCGATCTGAAACAAACGTGCGGAGGGCACATATTTCTGTGCGATTGGCACAATCGCGAGCGATGGGGAGCGGATTGATGGTTGCATGGGCTACCTTGAGCGTCAAGCATATCTTCAGACGCACCCACAGGAGCAGGGAGTACTGTCGGATTGTTCCTGAGACGTATCCACAAGTCTCAGGACACCCCGACGCATATGGCCATTTTTTTTCCTGTTCACGTGACAACATAGATTCATCAGGTGTAGCATTGAAATTGCGCTAAACAGGAGACGCAAACTATTCAGCACTGCACTGGAATTGCTTCCAGTGCACACTTCTGACCACAGCCGATGCTTTTTTTTTGAGGGTCTGGGACCGGCGAATAAATTACAAAGACTGACAATGTGCTAGCTCAAGGTTCTGAAGAGAATTTGGGAGAAGCGCTGCAAGCCGTCATATCTGGACAACTACAACTGTTCGGAGTCCGATAAACGGGCTGAGTTTGGTGTAAGGTGAACTTCCACTGAGGCGCAACGAAAGGGGTTTTGTCCTAAAGCCTGGCGAGATGGCATCTGCATAGGGAAAACTGAGTTTGGAACCAAAACCAACGCATCCGATCCATGCAGAGGAATCTCCAAGAAGACTCCCGCGGAAGCTTCAGCTGACTTTCTGAACGCTAGTGCCACACAGTGCCTAGCGTACCTTCTTCTNCTTCTTCTACAGAATTAGATGACCGCACGTGCCAATTTAGGGCTCTACTGAGAATCACTTGAGATGAGAAGGAACCTGCTAAGGACGTGGTGAATGCATTTCGGTTTCCTATGTGCCTGAAACGCCACACAGCTGCGAACATCAGAGAAACTTCCACTAAAGACCTATGTCTTGAACCGCACCACCTTTCCACTTTCCTGTCTCTGGGACACCTGCGAATCTACCTATATCCAATAGACTTGTGGAACTATACTGTGTTCGGAAATCCAAGCTAGTCGACTGCCCGTAAGCCGAATTCATATGGTGCACGATACTGTTCGTCTAAATATTGCTGACTACTATTTCTACTGTTTCTGTAAGTCAATTGGTACTGACACTGCTTTGTAATGCACCGCATTATACCCAGGTTATTACACATGTTCTGAAGTGACCACTCGTGCGCTTGGGCGAATCGCCACAGCAACGGCGGCGCGGGCGGCTACGCAAGAAACAAAACTGGTCTTTCTTCTAAGCATTCTGTGATAAATACTGCCTCCTGGGACGGCTTAGACGATCAGAATGAGGGCGTCAGCTCGCCGTCCTGCGTAGCCGAAATACGATGCTGTACTGGTGCTAGTTAGGACGCGGACATACAGTAAAAAACAAAGGGGGAAGAAGGCTTCGTGCCCGAAGCATCAATCCCCAAAGCTGAGCGCTGTACTGTGGGACAGTTCTGCGAGTAACGGTGATGAGGCGTGAACAAGTGACGCCACTCGTGGAAGAATTGAATGCTCTAACGACAACCAGCTGGAGCTGAAGCGAGACAGACAACGAACGCTTCCCCCTCTGCATCGAGAAGACCCGTATACAGCCCCAGCTCATCGTGAGGCATCTTCAGTCCAGCCGTAAGATCATTTATCGTGTGCCCCGGAGTACCCCATTTGGGCCTCCTACGTCCGCCTCATTCACTTTCNCCTACTCCAGAAACTTGGTCAACAATACAAGGGGGGAAAAGCAAGCCCAAGCGGTAAAACAGGTAAGCTCGAGCTCGTAGACACTCGGATTAAAGGGGAAAAGCATCCGGCCAAGCCGCGAAATACTGCACAATGCTGTGCGTGAAATGGGGGTGTGCACTTCTGTTTACATGTAGGCTGCCTTAGGAGCAAGCGATTGTTCAACGATTGTCGGCAGTGTTAGCCCATGCAACAAAAGCTACATGGTTGTGCATGTGGGGGTGCCTTGCACAACGAGTTGCAACTTGGCGCGTTGCAGCACGTGCTAGCCCGCTTCCTCTCCTACGGTCCCACGAACTTGTGTCGCCGGTCCCAGGGTGCCTGGGGACTGCCGAGGATCTCAGATGTCTTGGGAACTCTCATCTTGAATATTTCGACATTATTGGAGCTCGCCCGCGGTCCTTGAGCAAAGCAGTGACTTTCGTTACAACTGCCGTCATTCCGTTCCCCGTCATCTACGTATGATGTTGCGAACCATACTCTCTGAGCACTGAGCGAGGCCATATATTCGCAAGTAAACTGCACCAGAAGCACAGTGGGGAACGCACTCGCCCACCGCATCCATCCCAAGTCAGAGTTCGGGCAAGTTTCATCCCTTCTTGAGCTCAGAACTTTCTCGTTTTCTGGATGACCTGGCTGTACATCGAGCCCTCATCCGAGTAAAGGTTTACGACACTGCGAACAGAACGGAAACGTAAGGGTGAACGTATCCTTAATTATCCTATTTGTGCGCAATACATCAACTCCAAATGCTGCTACCGCGCACGGCTGGTATATACATCTCACAAACTCAGTGACACTTAGTCAGACTCAGTGACACTCAGTCAAAGAAGAAAGACAGGAACAGACCGACGAAACAGATGCAGAAACCCAATGTAGAAGGCTACGGGGAAATTACGAGTAACCACGAGCTTTCGAGATTTGCGGTCCACGAAATGAAATAAAACGACATTGCAACATAGCGTATCTCGGCAAGGCGACGGATGATATCAGAATGACAAAGGCAAAGGCAGCAAAGTCGGAAAACAGTATCTCTGGCGGAAATAACAACCTGCCGAAAGAACAGCCGACTACGGGGCTCGAACCCGCGACCACCAGCTTAAAAGGCTGGCGCTCTACCGACTGAGCTAAACCNACTACGGGGCTCGAACCCGCGACCACCAGCTTAAAAGGCTGGCGCTCTACCGACTGAGCTAAACCGGCGGTTCTGTACCGTGACGCTGGGCTTGGCTTTCAAATTACAGAAAATGTCTAAAAGTATGAGCAAAGTAAGGAAGTGACAGAGTTCGCTGGATTTGCTCACGGCCCATGCCCTTCATTTGTGTCAGAGTGTTGCCTCAACCTATCGCTGGCTCACCTGCCGATTTAGCTCAGTCGGTAGAGCGCCAGCCTTTTAAGCTGGTGGTCGCGGGTTCGAGCCCCGTAGTCGGCTCTCTTAATAGCTTCTTAATCGTGAGAAACGTTGATTTGCCTTTTGTGTGAACTGGCGGATCCCAGCAGCGCGCTCTTTTGTGTAGTACGCCTGCTGATTGCCTCACCACTGTTGCGTATGAAATATAACGTCCCGCGGAGCGTGTCACATCTTATT